CCAGTGCCATACCGGAACTCCTAGTGACCTTGTAGAACAGAGTATAATTGCTCCTTAGGGTTTCTGAGACTGTGAATCTCACAGACAGCCTCATCTTTCTATGCAAGAGCACCTGGGGGTTTGAACCATTGACCTTGCCATTAGCAGCTCAACGCCTAGCCCACAGTACCACAAGGCTCCATAGCTATGAACTTTAAGGAAGCAGATGATTAAGCCTGTCTTCTGAGGGGCCTTTGGGTGGGTTCAGACTACCAATCTTTGAGCCAGTAGTTGAATGTTTGTAACCATTTGAGCCACCCAGGAGATCCTGGGAGTACAGATTAAATTTTCCTTTGCACTTCTTCCGCCCCAAATCACTGGAGCCCTGCAGGATCACCTTCGATATTGACATAGTGCAGTGTCCAGCACACAGTGAACAGCCAATAAGCATATGGAACTTCTCTGATTGACTAGTCTGGAATACTGATTGCCACTCCATTCCAGTACGTCACTTAAGGAAGTAAAATGGGTTACAGGACTTGGGACTGATGAGTCACAAACAACTCCATGAAGTGGGTATTATGATTATACCCATTTTATGAATCAGAAAATTGAGGCACAAAGATCACATAGCAAAATCAGTGGCTGAACTGGCTTTGAACCCTGATGGTCTACCTAGATCCCACGCCTTCATTCACTAAATTAAACAATCTTAAACACAATGACAGCATTAGCTTTGAAGGTAAAAAGCTGACACAGATGCCAGAGAGGTGTGTGCTAGGGCAATCCATGCTCTTTACCTTATTTATGACAGGTAAACGGAGTCCTAGTGTGGCACCGTAGGATAAGCACTAGACCACAAGTTCGGTTTGAACTGCAAGGTTGATGGTTCAAATCCACCAGCTGCTCCTCAGAAAACCTATACAGGGTCGATGTGAGTAGGAACCAACTCGATGGCACTTAACAACATGGCAGGTAAGGAGTTCAGAGGAACTAGAACATATCCTAGTGTGTACATGGACTCGCAGTGTTCGACCATTTCAAGAGGTAGCATATGATCAAGAGCCAATGATAATGATGGAAGAAGTCCAAGGTACATTGAACGAATTGACAAAGAACAAGACTCCAGGAATTGATGGGATTCAAATTGAGATGTTTCAACAAACTAATGTAGCACTGGAGGCACTCACTCATCTATGCCCAGAAATTTGGAAGACAGCTGCTGACTGGTAGAGATCCATATTTGTGCCCATTCCAAAGAGCAGTGACCCGACAGAATGCAGAAATCATCGGATAATATCATTAATATCACATGCAAGTAAAATGTTACTAAAGATCATTCAAAAATGGCTGTAACCATACACTGACAGAGAACGAACTACCAGGGGTTCAAGCTGCGTTCAGAAGAGGATGTGAAGCAAGCGATATAGTAGCTGACATTAGATGGATCTTGCCTGAAAGCAAAGAATACCAGAAAGATGTTTACCTGTGCTTTATTGATTATGCAAAGGCTTTTGGTTGTGTGGGTCATGACAAGCTATGGACAACATTGTGGAGAATGAGTATTCCGGAACACTTAATTGTGCCCATGAGGAACCTGTACATAGACCAAGAGGCAGTTGTTCCAACAGAACAAGGGAACACCAAATGGCTTAAAATTAGGCAAGTTGTGCGCCAGGGTTGTATTCTTTCACCATACTTATGCAATATGTATGCTGAGCACATAATCAGAGAAGCTGGATTATATGAAGAAAAATGTGGCATCAGGATTGAAGGCAAACTCATTAACAACCTGCAATAGTCAGATGATATAACCTTGCTTGCTGAAAGCGAAGAAGACTTAAAATACTTACTGATGAAGATCAAAGATCACAGCCTTCAGTATGGACTGCATCTCAATGTAAAGAAAACAAAAATCCTCACCACTAGACCAATAAACAACATCCATATAAATGAAGAAAAGATGGAAATTGTCCCAAGACTTCATTTTGCTCGAATCAACCATTAACACTCATGGAAGCAGCCGTCAAGAAATCAAACAACATATTGCATTAGGTAAATCTACTGCATAAGACCTCTTTAAAATGTTCAAAAGCAAAGATGTCAGTTTGAGGACTAAGATGCACTTGACCCAAGCCATAGTATTTTCAATAACCTCATATTCATGCAAAAGCTGGACAGTGAATAAGGATGACCATAGAAGAATTGATGCATTTGAGTTACGGTGTTGGAGGATAATATCGAAAGTACCATGAACTGCCAAAAGAACAAACAGATCTGTGTTGGAAGAAGTACAGCTAGAGTGCTCCTTGGACGTCGTCTCTCATACTTCAGACATATTTTCAGAAGGAACCTGGAGAAAGAAATCATATTTGCTAACATGGAGGGTTGGAGAAAAAGAGGAAGACCCCCCCAGTGAGATGGATCAACACAGTGGCAGTAGCAATGGGCTCTGAAGTAGCAAGGATTGTTAGAATAGCGCAGGACCGCAGGAACGGGGAATGTTTCATTCTGTTGTGCATAGAGTTGCTATGAGTCAGTACTGACTCGATGGCACCTAACAACAATAACAACATATAGACTCTCAGAATTCTCTCTAGCCAATGGTTCCAGATTTTTGGACTTGACAAGAGAAAAACAATAAACTAATAAAACCAAGTTCCCACATAAAGTTGCCAGCTTTTATTTTTAAGGGCAGCCCAGTGACACAATAGATTAGTACCCTGTTGCTAACTGAAAGGTTGCAGGAAAAAAGATCTGTTCCCATAAAGATTACAGCCTAGGAAACCCTATGGGACAGTTCTACTCTCCTATAAGGTCACTATGAATCAGAATTAACTCGAAGGCACATCAACAAAGACCATTTAAAACACAGCACTATTATGTCATGAAAGGAAGGACATTTTAATCTTTCTCAAAATAGGAAAGACATCATCTCTGAATCAGAGCAACCATTCCCAAGAAAGGACAGTCATCAGTTTCCCACTTGACACATAGACAGGTCTGTGTCTTTTCATTGTGTTGTGGACTGGTGAAAATGTCGCCCTAGGGATGATTCTGCTCTGATCCCTCGGAATCATTGAGAAGGAGTTAGGTTAGATCTAAGAAAGAACATTTCTTTTTTGGAAGTCTTTATAAAACACCATGAGCGCCATGTTTGCCTGGGATGTGAGAGTTGTACAGCCAACTTCAAGAGATGGAGGGGTAGTAATGCTCGGTTCCTCCCCCTGCCCCCTGCTCCCAGCCCCCAAGCCAGATAGGGCAGGGGCCTTGTTTTGAGAGAGCTAGCCTCAGATTTACCAGGGTTGTCATATAAGCTAGACAACTTAAACTTCTCGTCAGGCAGCTGTTTTCTGCCCAGAGTTCATAGGGTGTGATAGGTGGTCCCATGGCAGTAGGGAGGCCTCCCCGAGCCTCTCCTCATCCCTCTTGTTGGAAGGAGGCTGTGTACTCACCCACCTCGGAACTGAGTAAAGTCCCCAGAAAGACCTTTGAGGAGGGCTGAGAATGGAAGAGAGGAGAGAAAGACTGGCTCTCAGGAGCACCATCGCTCCACTGCCTGGAGCCTGCAGTGTAATGAGCCAAGTCTCGCCATGGTTAGGCCTAACTGGCTGCAACATCCTCACCAGCCCCTGGTCCAGACTCAAGACAAAGCCTTCTGTTCCATTTCTCTCAGTAGTCATTGGAAGCACCAGCTGACCCTGGTTTGGGACTTGTCACCTCTGTGTTTGATACCAGGGTGGTGTCTGGTTTCACCTACCCAGTCCTAGAAGTGGAGAGCAAGGTCTCCAAAGGTGGGCTCTCATCCTCAGGAATGTCATCTTTTGGGCTTCAAGGTGGTGGTGGTTATGTGCCGTGGAGTCGGTTCCAACTCATAGCTACCCTGTACGGGGTTTCCAAGGCTGTAAATTTTTATAGGAGCAGAAAGCCTCATCTTTCTCCCGCAGAACAGCTGGTAGTTTCGAACTACTGACGTTGCAGTTCACAGCCGATTCATAACCACTACGCTACCAGAGCTCCTTTTGGGCTTCATAGAAGGCCTCAAACCTCATCCTACACTGTGGGGCTGGGCGCTGGCACTTCCATATTTACCCCGCCCAGGGAGTCCTGGTGTGGTGCTGTGGACCAGTGCATCAGACTGCAAAGTCATTTGATCTGCAAGGTCAGTCATTCAAGCTCACCAGCTGCTCCTTGGAAACCCTCTGTAGGGTCCCTACAGGTAAGAATCAACTCAATGGCACTTAACAACTACAACATGGCTTAAAGGGACAGACCTACCAAAATTTTAATCTAGTGTTTTAGAATAGTGAATGTGGATTTCCTCAGGTTACAAATAGAGAAACTGAGACAGTTTTTCCTCCTTCAGGGTCACTCTGCTTAGATGAGGCCCCAGTTCCCAGGCTTTCTGTCATTGACTGCCCTTTCAAAGAACATCTGTGTGAGCCCCTGCTAAGCGCTTGGTGCTAGAGGTATAAAGACAACTGCCCTCAAGAGTTTTTTGCTCAGACAGATAAATATAAACTACAAGGGAGAGGGCAGATGCTAGAAAAGATGAATCTGCTTAAAAATTCTGCAAAACTTTGTAAGGTGTCCCCTTCCTTTTCTTCCTCCAGTGGGGTAACACTGTCTGCAGAAACACCCTGAGCCAGGGTTGGGTCTTGGTGGAGAGATCAAAGATGGGAGATAAAGGGAAGAGGATTGCCAATGTTCCTACACCAAATGCCCCTCCCTGAAACACCCAAAAGCTCCATGTCAGAAATGGACCTCTTTCGCCCTCTAATGGATGAAAAGCAGCCTGCTGGAGCCTCACCAACCTGGCTTCCTTATAGAAAAGGACCCTTCTCCCCAGCCTTTTTATTCCCCCAACAGCTCAAGCTTCATTTCCTACAGCTGAAACTTACTCCTTCCAAGGGCCCTGGTTTCCCTGACCACCATCCCCAACACTCTACTGTCTCCCCAGTTCCCTTTGTTGCTCAGGTTCTGATCTGGTACCATGGTTCCTGGTGCTGTCAGAAAGTTCTGGTTCTGGAAGACCTCTTCCCAGGTGCCTTGGGCCCTGCTTACGCCCAAAAGGCAGCCCTAAAAACATGGGCATGAGCATCCCCGAGTGCCTGGGACAACTAGACATCCGCAAAGGAGTAGTGGGCTTGGCCACGGGCGCCGGGGCCATCTACCTGCTCTACAAGGCCATCAAGGCTGGCATAAAATGTCAACCGCCTATCTGTACCAACTCGCCCATCTGCATCGCCCGTGAGTGTCCGGGCCCTGGGGAAAGGGCTCTGCCCCCGGAGGCACCCGCTTCTGAGGCCTCCTCTGTGGGAGGGCCCAAAGGTGACTCCTCAAAGTTCCTATCTCCTTCCTATTTCTCTTCCCCTTCTTTAAACTTACTCTGAAGCCCCCTAGGTAAGGCCCTGTTAAAGATGCTAGTGGAGTTCCCAGTGGGTTCAAAGTAAATCCTCAGCCTTCATTTGGCAGATCTCCAAACACTACTTTTGCTCTGGCTCCTAGAACCCCACAACTTGGAAGTTTGGTGTCAGTATCTTCCCCCTTTGAGATCTCAGAACTTAAAACGTCCAGGAAAGGGAAAAATTGGGGACCTACATGCCTAGATCATCCATCCACTAGATGATGGCACCTGTGTACAGATAAAGGCGCCCGTTCTGTGGGACTCTTTACTGCCATCTGCTGGAAGATTATTTCTACATAGGATTACACTACAATGCCACCTACTGCTGCCACATCACAGAAAATTGTCATCATAAATATACCAATCTATGACATATATGAAGGAGCCTTGGTAGCATAGTGGATGACAAGATGAGCTTCTAACCACAAAGTCAGCTGCTAACCACCGGTCGCTCCACGGGAGAAAGATGAAGCATTCCATTCCTGTAAAGATTTACAGATTGGCACAGTGGTACAGCAGTAATGGGCTCAAGCATAGCAATGATTGTGAGGTGGGCGCAGGACCAAGCAGTGTTTCATTTTGTTGTGCATAAAGTTGCTATGGGTGGGTACTGACTCGATGGCAGCTAACCACAACAAAGATTTATAGCCTTGGAAAGCCTATACAGGGTCGCTGTGAGTTGGAACTGACTCAGTGGCACACAACCACCCCCACCACCATGACCTATGTGATATATGGTGTACTTGTACAGCCCACTCCCTGTTTACCTGTACATGGTGGCCCTGTACTTAGCAAGAAGGCTCCTCTTTAAAAAAGGCAAACCAACCTCATCTCTAGTCCCGCTCCCCAGCTCCCCAACCCCATTTTCTCATAACCTCTTAGTCCACAGTCTGAACTGAGCTGGGTGACTGTCTAGGTTTGGCCATCGAACGAGAGCGGCATGGACGGGACTCAGGCGAGCTCCGGAGACTCCTCAATTCTTTGGAGTGCAAACAGGATGAGTATGCCAAGAGCATGATCCTACACAGTATCACGCGGTGTGTGTACTTGCTGGAGGCTGAGGTGAGGGATGGGAAACTGGAGGGCTCTCCCAGCCAGCCTGGCCTCTGGCAGCTGCAACTGGCTCTCTGCAACCACCCCTACCCTAACCCCTACTGGCTAGATTTGGCCTTTGGACCTGTTTCTCTCTCTGACTGACAATGGGAGGGTGTGCTGAAGGGTCTTGGTGATAGGAGGGATAGGGGGCCCAGGACACCTGCCTCTCACATCTCTCCCTGCACACTGTAGGCCTCTGCTTGCACTGTGGATGACATCAGGTTGGTGGGCTGCATGTTGGATGACAAGGACAACAGTGTCAAAATCCAAGCTCTGAACACGCTTAAAGCTTTCTCTGGCATCAGAAAATTCAGGCTCAAAATCCAGGTGAGCCAGGGACAAGTAGTGGGGTAGAGCACACCATAGTTTACAGTCTGTGGGTCCATTTATTGACAGCGAACAAATGGGTCCTTTTCCAAAATTTGGGTCTGGGTTTATAGCCCAGAAATAATATTTTCCTTGGAAGAAAGTGGGGGAAAAAGGAGCCCTAATTTTTCAGTGAATCAAGCACCGGGCTGCTAACTAAAAAGGTCAATGGTTCAAACTCACCAGCCAGTCTTTGGGAGAAAGAAGAGGCAGTCTGCTTTTGCAGAGATGACAGTTGGAGACCCTGTGGAGCAGTTCGGTACGAGTTGGAATAGACTTGAAGGCAGTGGCTTCGACAAATGGTAGTCAGATTCCCAACAGAGTCATGAAAGCCTTTGAATCTTAGGATGAAACTGAACTAGCATGCTAGAAGTGTCTCTGAACCCCTAACAACTCCCATGCCTGTTGGTCAGAGGCTATGAGTGGGGCACAGATGCTCCCATCGCCTCTGCATAGAGAAAATATAAGCCACCAAATGTCAGTTTCTCCAACTTCCTGCTATCCAGCTCCCAGCCTTACCTGTTTCCACACCCATTGCTTCCTCTTTCCTATGAGTCCCTGGGTAAAAACAGAGGAAAAAAACTCCAAAACTTGTTTTCCTCTCTGTGATCAAGGTTGGGAGTCCTGATGGGTTTAAACAGTTAGCACACTGTTTACTGAAAGGTTGTCTCCACAACCTTTCCACCCCGAGGTACCTCAGAAGAAAGGCATGGCAATCTACTTCCGGGAAAGCAGCCACCGGAAAAACCAACTTGATGGCAACTGGTGGTCATTTTTTGTTTGCTTGTTTTTGTTTTTAATGTCACTGTCAGTTTCAGTCCTGGATTCCATCCCTGCTTGAGAGTCTTGTTCTTTGATTATCCTCACTGTCTGATTTGGTCTGCTGTGACTCCTCATTTAACATTGAGCATGCTTTAATTCCTTCCAGAGGATCCCTGGTGGTGGAGTGGTTAAGTGCTCTGCTTTTAAATGAAAGATCAGCAGTTGGAACCCACCAGCTACTCTTTGGGAGAAGGATGTGGCATCTGCTTCCATAAAGATTAAAGCCTTAAAAACTCTAGGGGATAGTTTCACTCTGTTCTAAGGTGTCGCTATACAGAGTCCTGGTGTGATGTTGTAAGGTAAGCACTGGACCGCAAGGTCGGTTTGAACCACAAACTCACCAGCCGCTCCTCAGAAACCCTATACAGGGTTGCTGTAAGTCGGAACCGACTCAACAGCGCTAAACAACAACAATAACCAGGGCTTCGTATAGCGACACTATGTGGTTGTTGTTAAGTGCCCTTGAGTCTTGAGTCGGCTAGTGGATTTAGACGTCCAACCTTGCTGGCAACCTTGAGCTGAGCTACTAACCACAAGGTCAGCAGTTTGAATCTACCAATCATTCCTCAGAAGAGAGACTCTCAGCTCTCATAAAGATTTACAGCCTCGGAAACCCTATACAGACAGGATCATTCTGAGTCGGAACCACAGCACACCATCACCACCACCATAGGGTCGTTATGAGCAGGAATCAGCTCCACAGGAGTGGACTTGGTATTTGATGTTTTAATCCCTTTGGTCTTAAACAGCAAAACAAAACCATTGCCCTCAAACTGGTCTCTTTATCCCAAATTAAAATATAAAAATTTAAAAACCTACGGAAAAAAAAAAAAAATCTATGTGTAAGGTAGAAAAAAGAATAAAACCAAAGATTGCATACCCATAACTCAGGCTAAGAAATAAGAACATGACCAATATTTTAGATATCCCAATATTGCCCTTCCCAGCCCCACCTACGTTTTGTTGACCAATTCCTGGATTTTCTTTATTATTTCACCATATATGCATATATCCCTGCAGAACCTAATAGGGCACAGCCTAGTAAACCAAGTGAGATACAGTTTGGGGTGTTTTCAGATTTCATAGACTCCTATATGAAAGCATGCAGGTTGTATTGTATAGTATATCATTCCCCCAACATGACAAGATGCATCTTTATTGATGTAGGTAGCTCTGTTGTTTCTTGTCACTGAGTCACTTCTAACTCATGGTGATTCCGTGTGTGCCTATAGAACTGTACTTCACAGGGTTTTCAAGGTTATGACCTTTTAGAAGCAGACCTTTAGGTCTGCCTTCTGAGGTATCTCTCTGTGTGAGTTCACACTGCTGACCATTTAGCTAGTGCACGAGTGCTTAACTGCTGATTCTCTTTTCACTGTTGTATGCTATTCATTTAATGAATACCCTGCAAGTTTTTGTATCCGTTTGCTCACTGGTAGGCACTTGAGTTGTTTTCCAGGTTTTTCTGGTACCCACACTGTGCCGTGTACATCCTTGAGAGAGTTTCTCTAGGATATGTGTGCAGTAATGGAATGGCTGGGTCAAAGGGTATACTCACGTGTTCTAGAGGGTTGTATCAACACCCCACCAGCACTGCATGAGTGCACCAGTTGTGTAATAACCTTACCAACACTTGGCATTTTTACACTGAAAATTTTTGCCATCAAACCTTTTTTTTTTTTGAGAAATAAAACGGTTTTCTCACTTGCTGGCTGTTTCTATTCATCCTCAGCCTTCTCAGTTCTCCTGAGGTGGTGATTTCCTCATGTTTCAGAAATGACTGATTTCAGGGCCCCACAGTCAGACAGCCCAGTTCATCAGGGGAGATAACATTCCTAAGCCCCACAGGGAATTCTGGGGTAGCTGACCCAGCACCACTGTTCCTCCTTCCTCCCCATTGTCTGTATCCTGAGGGCCTGTGCCCTGTTCTCTTCTCTCTGGGTGAAAACAACCACTCCCTGGGCTTTGTCCATCTCTGTGTGCTCACCTCGGTGTCTGTCTGTCTGTAAAGAAGGAACATGACCAACTGCTTCCGAGCATCTCCACCTAGATGGCCCAGAAACTCTCTAACCCAATGTGTCCAAAATGGGGCTCAGACCCTTCCCCAAGTCACACCACCCTGTCCAGAAGGACCTCATCTGTTGGCCCCCTCTTCAGTCTTGAGGGTTGTTGGTTTAAGATGATTAACTTTGCCTGCGTTGTGTCCCAACCCCATCCACTCACACAGGATGCTCCATGATCTTCCACTTCCTGGCCCTTGCGCCTACCTGCTGTTCCCTCTACCTGAAAACGCTCCCCAGACTTGCTGACTCTTAACCTGCTCTTCGTGGAGCCTCAGTGGTGCAAAGATTTAGCATTGGCTGGCAGCTGAAAGGTTGGCAATTTGAGTCCTCAGCTGCTCCAAAGACCTAGCTATCTGCTTCCATTAATTACAGCGTAGAAAATCATCTTGGGGTAATTCTGTGCTGTCCCATGGGGTCACTATGAGTTGAAATAGACTCAACAGAGCCTAACAACAGGATTCTGCCCTTCATGTCTCATCAGACAGGGAGAGATGGGGGTAGTGTATTAATGGGAATGTGTGGTTCCTACTCCACAATTCTTGCTTCCCTTTTCTATAGCTCACAGGATACAGGTGAGGTTACCTGTCTTCGGCAATACCTTTCAGTTCAAGCGTCTTTCCTTCAGAACCCAAGATCCCTTCATTCTTTCAACAAATATTGCTGTTGTTGGTGTTTTAGCATATTGAGCATTCACTGTGTTCCTAGGCACTAGGGATGCAGCAGCAAACTGAACAGAAAGATCCTTATCCTATTAATTCTAGCAGGGCAAGGCAGGCAAGCAGCTCATAACTTAAAATACATAATGTGTTATGAAGACCCTGTGTTATTAAGTACCATTGAGTCAGTTCCAACTTAGTGACCCTGTAAAGGGTTTCTGAGGAGCAGCTGGTGGGTTTGAACCACTGACCTTCTGATGAACAGTTCAGGGCTTATCCTACAGCACCACACCAGGACTCTAGGTGGTGCAAATGGTTTGACTGTTGAAATCCACTCAGTGATACAGCCAAGACAAGGCCTGGCAATATGGTTCTCTTAGGATTGTTGTTATTAGTTGCCATGGAGTGTCTTCTGCCTCATGGTTAACCCCAGGTGAACAGATTAGAACAGATCCGTAGAGTTTTCAAGGCTTGTGGTCTTTTGGAAGCAGATTGCTAGGCTTGTCTTCCAGTGCCCCTCTGCGTGGGGTTCAAACTGCCAACCTTTCAGCTTGACTATCTGCACCACCCAGGGACTCCTGGCATCCTGGTGTGATGCTGTATAAACACTGGACTGTTAACCACAAGGTTGGTGGCTCAAACCCACCAGCCGCTCCTTGGAAATCCTATACACCCATAGGAACTCCCAAGAACATTCTATGGAACAGTTCTACTCTGTAACACATGAGTTTGCCATATGTTGGCATAGACTTGAGAGTAACGAGCAACAACGAAGTGTGTTAACTGTAACAAGTGTTATGGAGAAAAAGGAAGAAGGGGGATAAGGAAGCTGGGATGAGGATGGCAACGCAATTTTACAGGAGAAAATCTTTGCGACCTAGGTCTTGGTGAAGACTTTATAGATGACACCAAAAACATGATCTGATAAAATAAGTAAATTGGAGTTTATCAAAATTGAGAAATGTTTGATTTGCAGACGATGTTGATAACAGGATGAAAAGAGAAGTTACAGATTGGAAAAAAATATCTCTGAAAACCATATATCTGACAAATAACTCATTTAGGTTACATAAAGAACTCTCAAAACTCAATACTAAAATCATCAAATAGTCCAATTGGAAAATGGGCGAAAAGCATGAAGACAGAGTTCACCAAAGTTGATATGTGTATGGCAAAAAAGTACATAGAAAGATGTTCAGCAAAGTAACCATTAAAAAAAAACACCTGCTACTGAGCCGATTTCGACTCCTGGCCACACTATATGCGTCAGAGTAGAACTCTGCTCCATAGGGTTTTCAATGGCTTTTCTGGAAATAAATCACCAGTAGATCACGTGGCTCTGTGGGTTAATGCGTCAGACTGCAAAGCCTTTTGAACTGCAAGTTCGACGGTTCAAGTCCCTCCTTGGAAATCCTATACAGGGTTGCTATGGGCCAGAACTGTCTCAATGGCACTCAACAAAACAACAGCTCACTTTCTTCCTTGGTGTTTCTGGGTGGACTCAAACCTTGAATCTTTAGGTTAGCAAATGAGCATGTTAATTCTTTGCCCCACTTGTTTTGTTGTTAGGTGCCTTTGAGTCAATTCTGACTCATAGCAACCCAAACACAACAGAATGAAACACTACCTAGTCCTGTGCCATCCTCACAATTGTTACATTTGAGCTCATTGCTGCTACCACTTTGTCAATCCTTCTTGTTGGGGAATCTTCCTCTTTTTCGCTGACCCTCCTCTTTACCTTCTCTGGGGACTGGTCCCTCCTGATAATATGTCTGAAATATGAGAGACAAAGTCTCGTCATCCTGGCTTCTAAAGAGCATTCTGGCTGTGCTTCCTTCAAGACAGATTTGTTGTTCTTGCAGTTTATATTCTTTTCCAATACCACAATTCAAATCCATCAATTCTTCTGAGTTCTTCCTTATTCATTGTCCAACATTCACATGAATATGAGGTGATTGAAAATACCATGGTTTGGGTCAGGTTCCCCTTAGTTCTCAAACTGATATCTTTGCTTTTGAGCACTTTAAAGAGGTCTTCTGTGGCAGATTTGCTTAATGCAATATGTCATTTGATTTCTTGACTACTGCTTCCATGAATGTTGATTATGGATCCAAGCAAAATGAAGTCTTTGACAACTTCAATGATTATTCCATTTATCCTGATTGTATTTATTGGTTCAGTGATGAGGAGTTTGGTTCTCTTTACATTGAGATGCAATCCATACTGAAGGCTGTAGTTTTTGATCTTCCTCAGTATTTCAAGTCCTCGTCACTTCCAGCATCAAGATTGTATCATCTGCATATCACAGGTTGTTAAAGAGTCTTTCTCCAATCCTGATTCCAAAATGTCCCTCAGCAGGTGAGTGGTTAAATAAACTGTGGTACATCCACACATGGAATACTAATCAACAATAAAAAGGAACACATTATTCATGCACACAACTTGGATGGGTCTCAATGGCATTATAGAGTGTAATGAAGCCTCACAGGTCACATATTGTATGGTTCCACTCATAACATTCTCAAACTAACAAAAATATAAAGAAATGGTATCCAAGGGTTAGTGATGACATGGGGGCAGGAGGGACATGGCTATGGCTATAAAAGGTTGGAATGTAGATCTTTGTGATGATGGTTGTGTATCTTGATTGTTGTGGTGGCTATACAAATTACACATAGGAGGAAAATGACATTAAACTACACATATTGCTACCAATGTTAGTTTTCTAGTTTTGGTGTAACACTGTAAGATAAGCACTGAACTGCTAACTGCAAGATCGACAGTTTACACCAACCAACCTATACAGGGTTGATATGTGTTGGAACTAATTCAAGGTCTCTTAACAACAACATAGTGTACTGTAATTATGTACATTGAAATCTCTTTGCAACTTCTTGTGAATTTATAATTCTTTCAGAATAAAATTTAAAAATAAAATGGTATTACATGTGACTGGGAAAACATTGAATCTCTTTGCAACTTCTTGTGAATTTATAATTCTTTCAGAATAAAATTTTAAAATAAAATGGTATTACATGTGACTGGGCTCTAGAGAAAAATAAAACAAAGATGGCAGGTAGGGAAGGCCAGGATGGAGGTGATGTGCAGGCCAGGATGGAGGTGATGTGCAGTTTTAAAGGGAAAGTGTCAGTAAGAAAGGTATTAAAGGAGCTAATGAATACCTGGGGGGAGAGCATTCCAAGCAGAGGGAACAGCAAAAGCCCAAAGAGAGGTGTGTACTTGGCATGCTCAAGGAATAGATAGGAGGCCACTGTGACAGGAAGAAGAGAATAGAAGATGAGATCAGAGAAATCATGGGGATGGAGACTAAATAGTATGGACCTTGTAAACGCCAGTAAGAACTTTGGCTTCTACCCTAAATGAAATAGGAGCTCTTGAGCAAAGAAATGGCATGTCCAATTTGTGCGGCAACAGATGGTAAGGTCAAGAGTGGGCGTAAACTGACAGAAGGCTGTTGTGAAAATCCAGTTGAGAGGCAATAGGGTGGTAGCAGTAGGGGTAGTGAGAAGTGGCTTGAATATAGAGGCATTTTGAAGGTAGAAAGATTTCCTGATGGATTGCGAAAGGCATGTGAGAGAAAGAAAGGAGTCAAGGATGACCCCAGGTTTTTGGCCTGAGCAACTGGAGGGGAATGTACCAAGAGCCGAGACAAGAAAGGCAGTGGGAGGAGCCGGTTTGTTGGGCAGCATGGGTTCATTGTGAGTACATAAGGAGAGAAGTGGAATTGGCACTTGAGTATATGGGCCTGGATTTCAAGAGAGCAATCTGGGTTGGAGATGTGACCTTGAAGGTCATTAGAATATGGATGGTATGGACACTCTGAGTTTGGATACTATGAAGGGAGTGATGCAGAGAAGAGGAAGCTGGGTTGGAGGACCAGAAAAGAAGTCTGAAAGAGAAGTCAGAAAAAGAATTTCAAGGAGATAGGAACGGTCCACTGGATCAAACGATGCAGAGTTGAAGTGAGAATCGTCTAGTGGACTTGGCCCAGCCAGAGTCCTGGGTTAGGGCAGTACAGCATGAAGGCAGAGGCTGGGATGGTGAAGGTGGGGATGACACCACATCAGAGCATATCCTTTTCTTCCCTGCACCCCAGGAACACTCCATCAAGGTGCTGGAACTGATCTCAACCATCTGGGACTCGGAGCTGCACATTGCTGGCCTCAGACTCCTCAACAACCTCCCACTGCCTGACTTTGTGCACCCGCAGTTACGACGAGTGATGCCCTCCTTGATGGAGATCCTGCAGTGTGACTACATCCTGGCACAGGTGCCCATGCACCCTGGCTGAGGCCCCACCCTCTTAGCCAGCCTGGGCCACGCCCCTAGACTGGAGGGTAGAAATGACATCTCCCCTCTCAGGGCACACTCACCTGCCCTCACATGCTTTCCTCTATCCAGGTGCAAGCCATACGACTATTGAGCTACCTGGCACAGAAGAATGACCTACTCTATGACATTCTCAACTGCCAGGTGAGAAGGGAACTGAAGAGGGGTGGATAGATGCCAACTCAGGTATTGGGGAGGAAAGAATCATAGATTCTCCAGACACTTAGCCCTGACAGGATTATCTTGTTCCTCCTCCTGCCTCTGAACTAGGTGTATTGAAAACCACCCTCCTCTTTATTCCCCCAACTAAACTGAGACTCCATCATGGTGGGAGGAGGGTTCTCCTGCAGGATTTCCTGAACTCTGAGAGAAACTCAGGTAGCAAAACAAAAGCTAATGTAGATATTTTAACATCAGGAAAAAAATTAGTGATGAGGCTCACTGCAGAATAATCAGGGATTCAGTTAAATCTATTGCTAAGGAGGCAATTCAGAACTGCCTCAGGGTTTCAAGGCTATCATCTTTACAGACGCTGACTGGCACATCTTTCTCCTGTAGATTGGCTGCTGAGTTCAAACCGCCAGACTTTTGGTTAGCACTGAGCTAATCAAAGCTTTTTACTGGAAGGATAAAATAACTACAAGTTTATATACCACCTAATAACTGACCCTCCCAGTATCTATGGCAAAACATAATAGAATTACAAGGAGAGATTGACAAATCTGTCACCATAGTGGAAAATCTGGGAGATTTAAACTACTCTCTCTGCAAATGATGGATAAAATCCTAAAAGCAGCAAAACTCTATATAAAAAGAACCAAACCAAACTTGTGGCTGTGGAGTTGAGTCCTCCTCAGAATGACCCTCTGTGTTACAGAGTAGAACTGCTTCATAGGGTTTTGCTGGCCAGAATCTTAAGAGATCAGATTACCAGGACTTTCTTCTGTGACAATTTTGGGTGGGTTTGAACCACAAACCTTTAGGTTTTAGTAGTACAACATAAACCATTTGCACCACCCAGGGACCTAGTAAGGCTATGTTGTTATTCTTAGGTGCTGGCAATATGGTTCCGACTCATGGGCACCCTGTATAGGGTTTCCAACGCTTTTTAAACACTCATTAAAAGAAGAAAAAAGCCTTAGCTTTCTCATGGGGAGTGACTCAAACTGCCAGCCTTGTGTTTTGCGGTCCTGTGCTTATCCTATGGAACCACCATGTTCCCTAGTAAGGCTATGGTGGTAATGGTTGTGTGCCATTGAGTCGGTTCTGACTCATAGCCACCTTGTAGAGGGTTTCTGAGGTTGTAAATCTTTAAGGGAGCAGAAAGCCTCATCTTTCTCCTGAAGAACAGCAAGCAGGTAGATTTGAACTGCTGACCTTTTGGCTAGTAATCCAGTCCAGCTTGTAATCCACTATACTACCAGAGCTCCTTAGTAAGACTGGACTTGCTATGAATAACAGATAGCAAGCTCCAGCTGTACCTAGAAGTCTGCATGCTACAATTACTAAATACACAGTCCTCTTAAGCACATACAAAACATCTCATATAAAAATTAGCCACCTACTAAAGCCTTAATCGGGTACCATGATGGCTCTGTATGATAAGCACTGAACTGCTAACCACAGGGTCCATGGTTAGAGTCTGTCAGCCACTCTGTGGGAGGAACATGAGGCTTTCTACTCCCATAAAGATTTACAGCTTTGGAAATCCTATCCAGATTCCTTATGAGTTGGAACTGACTCAACTGCCCATAACAACAAAGCCTTAATGGTGAAAAAAACAAAGCTCCAGGAACTGATGAAACACAGATTGAAATGTTTCAACAAAATGATGCAGTGCTAGAGGCACTCACTCATCTATGCCAAGAAATTTGGTAGAGATTCACATTTGTGCCCATTCTAAAGAAAGGTGACTCAACTGAATGCATAAATCATCTAACAATATCATTCACTTCATGCAAGGAAAATTTTGTTGATTCAAAAAAAAGGTGAAGCAGTCATCCACAGGGAGCTGCCAGCAATTCAAGCCAGATTCAAAAGATGACATGGAGTGAAGGATATCATCTCTGACATCAGATGGATCTTGACTGAAATGAGTGAATACCAGGAAGATATGTTTTTGTGCATTGTGTTTACTATGCAAAGGCATTTGGCTATGTGGATCATAACAAACTATGGATAACACTGCACAGAATGGGTATTCCAGAACACTTAATTGTGCTCATAAGTATCCTGTACATAAGACCAAGAAGCAGTTATTAAAACAGAATAAGGTGATATACTGAGTGGTTTACAGTCAGGAAAGGTGTGTGCCAGGGTTGCATCTTTTTGCCATACTTATTCAATCTGTATGCTGAGCAAATAATCCTAGAAGCTGTATTCTATGAAGAGTAATATGGCATCAGGATTGGAGGAGACTCGTTAACAGTCTGCAATGTGCCGATGACACAACCTTACTTTCTGGACTCAATGATGAAAATCAAAGGCTACAACCTTCAGTATGGATTGCACTTAAGTGTAAAGAAAACGAAATTCTCACAACTGGGCCAGTAAATAACATCATGATAAGCAGAGAAAAGATAGAAGTTGTCAAAGACTTCACTTTGCTTGGATCTACAATCAATGCTCCTGGAAGCAGCAGTCAAGAAATCAAATGCCATATTGCCTTAGTCAAATTTGCTGCAAAAGACCTCTTTAAAGTGTTCAAGAGCAGAGATGTCATTTTGAGAACTAAGATACACCTAATCCAAGCCACGGTATTTTCAATCACCTCACAGGCGTGTGTAAGTTGTACAGTAAATTAAAACCTGAGAAGAAACTATGCATTTGAGTTATGGCATTGGAGAAGAATACTGAAAGTTCCATGGACTACTGGAAGAACAAACAAATCCGTCCTGGAAGAAGTTTAGCTAGAATGCTCCTTAGAAGTGAGAATGGTGATACTTTGGACATGTTGTCAGGAAGGACCTGTATCTGGAGAAGGACATCATGCTTGTTAGAAAGGCAGAGAAAAAGAGGAAGAGCACCTCCAATGAGATGGGTTGACAAAATGGCAGTAGCAATGGGCTCAAACATAAGAACAACTGTGAGAATAGTACAGGATCGGGCAGTGTTTCATTCTATTGTGTTTCATTTGATGGCACTTATCAACAACAAAGCCTTAAAACTTGTGTCTCAACAAGTTTTCCAGAACCACTATTACTATCATATCACTCATGTGTCATGCACATAATGCAATTAAGTTAGAGAATGATGATGAAAATGGAAAAGTCTCTGGACAGTTGAATCGTAACTGTAGGTGACTTGGGGAGTTGAGACAGTAGAGGAAGAAAGAATGACTTTAGAACGCGGCGTCCTGACACTTGCCTGGGTCTTCATGCCCATCTACCCTCCTTCCCCACTGCAGGTGCACTCCAACTTCCTGAACCTATTCCAGTCCACACAGCCCGGGAGTTTGCTGTTTGAGGTGCTGGTGTTTGCTGAGCGGCTAAGCGAGGGCCGGAACGTACCCCACTACCGTGCTGTGAAGTGGCACTATAATGAACAATCCCTGCACGAAGCCCTCTTTGGGGATGAGTCCCGACTGGCAGACCGGCTTCTCGCCCTGGTCATCCACCCTGAGGAAGATGTTCAGATCCAGGCCTGCAAGGTCATAGTCAGCTTACAGTGTCCCCAGGACTTGAGACCCCGGCCCTCCTGCCAACCCAGTTCATCCTTCTTTAATTGTGGGGAATAAAGCTAA